GAAGGAAGGAAGGAAGGAAGGAAGGAAGGAAGGAAGGAAGGAAGGAACGAAGGAAGGAACGAAGGAAGGAAAAAGGGAGGGAGGGAAGAAGGAAGGGAGGAAGAAGCCCAGGCATCCCCATGATGAACTCAGAGGAAGAGTTTTGTGTAGGTTTCACTTTATGGAGGTTTCACATCCAGCTGTTGGAAGTTACGGCCAGATGTTTAGGGGCAAAAGAAAGAAGAGCCAGTGAGCTGTTCCATGGGCAAGTTCCTGCTGACCCCAGATAGAATAAAAATTCTCTGAGTGAAGGGACTTTTATTTTTATATCTGTATTCACAGGTCCTAGTACATAGTAGGCAATTAATAAATAATTGTTGAGCGTTGCCCGAGGATGGTCCCCACCCACCTGGGGGGGTCCCCAAGCTTTATCAGCTGCCCCTCTCCCTGCCCTACCAAGAATGGTGGGTGGTACAGTAGGAAAAGAGCTGATTTTGGAAAAGCTGGGATCTGGGTTCAAATTCAAATGCTTACTACCTGTGACTTTGGCCAAGTAATGTTGCTTCTCAGGCCTTGGTCATCTGTAAAAAGAGAGGGTTGGACAAGCGAGCCTCCCAAGTCCTTGCCAGCTCTAGGCCTGTGAATCTAAGGTCCTTCTCTGAAGAAGTTCGCAGACCCTGGGGGTCGGAGGAAGGCCGTTCCCAGGAAACAGGTGATTAACTCAGGCTGTCTCCATACCAGCCAAACCTGCAACAACTATTTGGAAGAACCTGTTCTGCTAAAGGGACCAGGGAGATGGAGCAAAGATGACTGTCGACTGACCTCCAGCCAAGCTGACCCAGCCACACCCATTCATTGGAGCCAGCTCCTGGGAACGGGACTATAGGGCGGCACCCCATCCCAGCAGGGCCTAAACTTCCCCATGTCAGATTCCCCCAAAGTTCCCCCAGCCCCCGCCACTCCACCTTTCCCAACCTCTAAAACCCTTTCTTAGCCCTACAAACCATGCCGGTGGCCTCCCTCCCAAACCCCTCAAGTCCTTGCTTCCCCCAGCCCACAGAATCATCAGATCTTAGAGCCGGCCATCTGGTTCTTGGCCCCTCCTCCTCAATGGACCAATCTTCCTTCCCAGAAACCCTCTTTCTTAAAAGCCCCTTCTTCTAAAAAATATCCTCTTATCACTCCTCCCTCCAAAACTCCCCACCAAAAAAAAAAACGCTAACAAAAAACACCCTCATGGTCCCACATGCAAAAATACATAAGAAATATATTAATAAGAAATGGTCCTTGGGGGCAGCTAGGTAGCACGGTGGATAGAGCACTGGCCCTGGAGTCAGGAGGACCTGAGTTCAAATCTGCCCTAAGACTAAACACTTGATATTTATTAGCTGTGTGACCCTGGGCAAGTCACTTAACTCCAATTGCCTAAAAAAAAAAAATGGCTCAGTGCCCAGTTGCAGCCCTTTGCAATCTCTCCAAATCCCTTCTAGGGTCTCTCTTCACTGCCACTTCCTAAAGATGACTATTCCTCTATCCATTTATTTATTCATTCATTGAATGCACAGTGTTGAATGAATTTATTGAATTTTCAGCAGACATATTCAGAACCTAGTATGTGTCAGGAATAGTGCTAGTTGATAGGGATACAAATTTTTTTTAAAAGAATAGAACCCTGCCCTCAAGGAGATTACATTCTACTCAAGAATAAATTACATATACATATACATATATATATATATATAAATTCTCTGAGTGAAGGGACTTTTATTTTTATATCTGTATTCACAGGTCCTAGTACATAGTAGGCAATTAATAAATAATTGTTGAGTGTTGCCCGAGGATGGTCCCCACCCACCTGGGGGGGTCCCCAAGCTTTATCAGCTGCCCCTCTCCCTGCCCTACCAAGAATGGTGGGTGGTACAGTAGGAAAAGAGCTGATTTTGGAAAAGCTGGGATCTGGGTTCAAATTCAAATGCTTACTACCTAAAAACCCCTATACATATATATATATATATATATATATACACACACACACATATATATATATATATATATATACACATACATGCATACATACCAATTTTTTAAAAATGTAAGTAGGGAGCAGAGGCCCTAGCAGCTGGACAGTCTCAGGACAGGACTCATATAAGAGCTAATACTTTGATCTAGACTCTTGAAGGAAGCCAGGGATTCCTGATTTAGAGTTGGAAGGGTCCTTAGAGGCCATCTAGGTCACTGCCATCATTTTGCAGATGAAGTAACTGAGGCCCAGGAAAGTAGGGTGACCCCCACTAGGTTTACAAGGGAGTCAAGCTTCAGGGGGTAAGATCTGAATCTGGCTCCTTCACACTTAAGCCAGTGTTCTTTCCCATGTACCTGTCTGCTTCCTACAAGCTAGAGGGGTGGGGGGAGTGCATTCCTTGCCTGCATTCCTGAAGTCCAATCTTCCCTATCAGGGGCACCCATGCCATCTATCCGGCGCCCACACAGGGCTCCCGCACATGGAGAAGATATTCCACTGTATACACACACTCGGTTTAGTCACCCTGGTTGACCAGCTGCTCCCTGTAGTTACTCTCATTTCCCATCCTCCACAGCCCTCTCTGCCAGGTCCTGGCCCAGGGAATTACAGTCCTATCACCCTCCTTCCCAAGGAAAGTCCTTTCCTGGTTTTTCCGTCTCTTCTCCTTGGTCCTAAAGACCCTCATTTTTCATAGGACCACAGACTTTGAGATGGAATGGACCTAAGATGTCACCTCCAGGTTCTCAACTTGGGATCCACGAACTTTTTTTAAAAATATTTTGATAATTCTATTTCAACATAATTGGTTTGCTTGGCTATCTTCTATGTTTTGTTTGATCAATTTGAAAACGGTATTTTGAGAAGGAATTCATAGGTCCTGCCAAACAGGGCCATGACCCAGAAAAGGTAAAGAACTCTCATGAATCTAATCCAACCCTTTATTTTCAGATGAGCAAACTGTGGCC